TTCTCTGTTTGTGAACAGCATAACTCAAGAAGCTTAATATGCATTGCCATGAAACTTGGTAGGTGGGTAGGTCTTCATAAGAGCTAGGAATGATTAGATTTTGGGCCCCCTGGCGGCTTTCCTAGGTACTGCTAGCAGAACTTCTGGTTTTGATATATCGGCGATCTGGACATGCTAATTTCGGTAGGTAGGTAGCTCTTGGGGTAGGGAACACGTGACATGAATTTCGGTAGTTCGGTAGGTACGTCGTTGGGTAGGCCCGCACTTGATTTGGGTAGGCCCGCACTTGATTTGGGTAGGCCCGCACTTGATTTGGGTAGGCCCGCACTTGATTTGGGTAGGCCCGCACTTGATTTGGGTAGGCCCGCACTTGATTTGGGTAGGCCCGCACTTGATTTGGGTAGGCCCGCACTTGATTTGGGTAGGCCCGCTCCGTCTAGGTAGGTAGGTCGTTCGGTAGGTAGGTAGGTAGGTCGTTCGGTAGGTAGGTAGGTAGGTCGTTCGGTAGGTAGGTCGTTCGGTAGGTAGGTAGTGGTAGTGATTGGTTTTATTTCTCAAAGATTACAGTTTCGCAGTGCTTGGTGTAAACCCGCACTGAATTGCACTGCTAAAACAATTCGACAAATACATGGGTTACAAATTATTAAAGAAATACATAAATTATTAATAAAATACAATCTACAAATTAACAGATTAAAAGATAACCTCTGAGTAGACATTGTCAGAGGTTAAATACATATCGTGCATACAGATTTCAATAAGCCTATTATTAATACATTATTATTGATGACTTGTCATAAATGTGTGTTGTCAAACATATTAGTTCGGCATTGCATAGTGCTGGTTGAACTATTTTGGGGGACTAGAAATTTAATATTAGCAATCATTGAAACATTCCAGTCAGGGCCGTTGTAAAAAAACATATTATGAGAAAATAATCTCCAATTATTGATGAATTCTCGTATCATGCAATGGTTGAGACCATACGTCAAAATCTAATACGTTCAAGGTGATAATTCAGGTCAGGTAAAGATCTTTACATAAGAATTAAAATCTAATGAATTTCTTCTCCCAAACTTAACATATGTGCATTACAACATATTTGAATCGAAACTGCAAATACTGGTTGCATTATTGTTGAAGAGTGTTACAAGATAGGGTATGGGACTATTCCTGTAACGATTAGTTCGTGTTTTAATAGTGTCCAATAGGCTGCTGTTTCTTGTTCTTCTACCACTGACGTCTCCCCGGAAGGGGGGTAGCCAATTCCGGTAGGACTCAGACTGTAGTAGTCTTCTTG